CTTCGTGCCTAAAGTATTGCTGACATATTAAAGAAGTTCCTTCAAAGATATGTGAATAATTGTATCTGCATATCGCTTGCTCATTCGTACAGTTTCATTTGCGTTTCGTTAGCCCGTTCAGAATAGGCCAAAGTCGAAGGTGACTGCTATTCGCAAGTACATTTCGCGCGATTGGCTGACTATATGACTAAAAATGTATACCAAAATTGGCAGACGTTTTAATAGTTATCATCACTCCTTCAGTTCACTTCAGGCTTCATAGAGAGGAAGGTACATCAAATTGAAAAGGTCGAGAGGGAGGGGACAGAAGAGTGTTTCAAAGATGTAAAAGAGACAGATACACGGGTAGAAAAAAAGGTGAGGTGAGTACTGTAGAAGTAGTCGAATATGACATACATTGGGGTGTTGGTAGTTTGAAGTCAGAAGTCAACTGCCGGTTAATAGACTTTTTGCCTTATGAGTATAAGTTGTCCAGGCTGCACTACGCGAAGGCAAGTCTAATGCACACCCCATATGACTAAAACTAACAAAGACCCAACAATCCTTTTTGTTAATAACTCACTTCTCACACTGTGTACTCCCAGATGTCACTGAAGACCAGTATTAAGGCTAGCAAGCCTGCTCTATTTGACAGCATTAGTGCAAAAATCAAAATAGATTGAATTCGGAAATGGGAATCTCTTGCAAAGGCCATCGTATCTGCATGATTTAATAAAATCTCATGATTGTACGCAAATGACATTCGACCCACCATATTTCTGACAAAGTGAAGATGAAGTAACATGGAACCGTGTATACGCAGGATAGATTTTCAGGTAAATTGATTTATAGGCACCAGTCGTTAATAGAGTGCTCACATAATATTATGGCAAAAGAAACTTACAACTTTGTGATTGAAGGAATGCTATCAGAAATAAAGATTTTTGGACTATTTTTCAGTTGATAAACTTAAATAAAGTGACTAATCAATTTCTTACTGATAGTCTTGCATTGTTTTTTCTTGTCTTTACGTGTTTTTATATGTATTGACTTTAATCAATTTCTTTAAAAAAGCGATAATGACGAAAGAGTTTAAGAAAATATGTCTACTAAAACACAATAAGTAGAAATAAATATCTATCAAAGCATATTTATCAGTAATGAGTAAATTCTAGGCATTCATTTGGTGATGCAACACTGGATTTCCACAATTTTTCCATAACCTATCAAACCGCCCGTCAAATCAAGTTTATTGTTGAGTGAACTGTGGATTTATAAATTTTCAATACCATTGTTATCGTGTTATGAAAATCTGGGGAAGTTTCATTGAGGCACGACAATTTAGTGACCCCCTTCTTGTAAAAATATCCTACATCGTGTCTCCCTTGGTCGTTAAAACGCTGGTTGAAATATATAGTTGGTTAAATTGTAATAAAGAAACATTGAATGCACACACTTAAGATCTTGATTTTAAGTAAAGCATTTTTGAAAATCTATAGTTTTAAAATTCGTCGAATATAGCTCAACTTGCTTCCTTCATAATTGAATATAAGTCTCTTCAATGTAAACAAAAATACAGATTGGTACACGCTTGACACTAATAGGCAAATGTTAAAACGATGTTATTGAAACTAAAGATATAAGTCCAGGAAAATAAATCATCGAAATTCATTACGTTTTGTTACCCGCAGTTGGCAAATTACAATTGTATAATTTTATCCTAATTAGTAAATGCTATCAAAAATTTAGATGCACTTCAAAATACAAATCCCCGTGTTCATTCACATTTTCAGTGCGACGGCTATATCAGGTTTATTTCAGCAAACAACCAAGTCACTTTTGTTCCTTTTCTCACGACGGAGGAGCTGCTGAACTGATAATTCAAAAAACCGCCACCGATAGGCTCGTTCCCACGCAAAGCAGACGGCCAACCATCCATACCCAGTCAGAATCCCCCCCCCCCTCTATAAAAAACGTAAATAATCCTCTCTCTCTTTTGGTGAGTGTGTGTGGTGTTATTTGTTAAGCCTGACCAGTATCTAGGTCTGCGCTGTACTAATCCCCATGTTTCAATTTTCCTGTGTGTGCCGGTCCCCTTTATCTCTCCCCCTAACTGACTGGGGGTAGAGTTTCCTAATCACGCACAAATGTCGTTTTCAATTTGCCGTGCAGCCAGTCAAACAAACGAGCACGCGTGCGGACGTACAAGCAGGGACAATTAATAATTTAAGTTTAACACGCTCGTCTTGTGTGGGTGCGCCCATAAGATTAGCAAACCTCGAGAAGACTGGCTGCAAGCGACGACAGGGAGCCAATCAGGTTGGCAATGAGTCATGAAGCACGTGCATCCACTGGTACGCTTATTCTTTCCCTTGCATGCTAACTTTTTCATTTGCATATGAGTAAGTGATTGAAGAAAGGGGAGACTAATGTTCGCTTTCTGGGATTGGAAGAGATAAGAAGGTGAAAGAGAGAGAAGAGGAGAGGAATGGAATGGGATGGGGTGAGAAGGCCTAGGTAAAAGACATTCCTCTTGGGGCTTGCGACTCACGTCAATCATTACGAAAGTAAGGGTGTAAATGGTCATAAAATACCGTCCACAATCGTGTGGTGGTGGTTTAAGTGGGTCGTCCATTTCGTGAACGTTCTCTAATTACACTCTCCTCCCCCCCCCCCCCCCCCCCCCCCTACCCCTCCGATGACTTTCATTTTGATGAGTGGGACAAGGTGAACTATACAATAAGAACTGCATTGTGCGCTAAAAAGACATTGACACTTAAGCAAAGACAATATGGATGTTTGAATCGGATTAGCATTACTGCCAACTTAGTTTTCACCATGGAAAATAGAAAAGAATTCTTATTTATTGTTATTTGCAGTGAGTAACACGAATAATTGAAGTCTTACGAGGTGGGCTAGATGCTCATCTATGTACATTCAGTGAGCAGAGTAGCAAATTACACAGGCAAAACCGGCTAATAGGGAGAATAGCAGACTTCGTGATTCACACCTTTAAGGTTCCCTGGTGCTAATCCTCTACCAAAGGTGAGATCTGCAAAATGCCTTCATTAGTGGACTTAGGAGGTTTGCCATTTTCTCGCCTTACGATAATTCGAATGAACTAGTGTGTCAAGTACTTAAAATAGAAAATCTGCCAAGGAGTGTACAGTATTGTCTAAAGCCAAAGAAACTATTTCAAAACATATAAATATGTAAATATGTGATACTTCAGGGTATCCTTCTGTGCTGGGGTTTCGAACATTCTCCTTCCGGTTAAAGTAACTCGTTTTGTTTTGCTTTTTAATTCCAAATGTATGACATTACACTAATTACCTGCCCAGTTGAAGGAAAGTAATAAGGAAAATTCAATCCTAGTAGAAAGAGATAACCATTGCAATGAACATTCTCAGCTAGCTCACGTTTGGTGGATTTCTGTTCGAATAAGCCTATTTAAACGGGACTTTCCGGTCAAATTGACTTTGACTGTCATAGTTATACACATTTTATTCAAAGCATCAAATCTATTGCAGCCATCTTGACAGTTCATCCGTCATTTCGAAAATTAGTAATACTTTCATGCTAAATCGATGAAAGATTTGCCGGCATCACATTGGCCCTTTTAAGGAGCCAATAAAATGTGAAGTGGGCTCCTGAAGTGAGGCCGCTTGAATCATTCTGTTTAAGCAAATGAAGTTCACAACAAATATTAGTACACTGAAAGGCGCACGTTCGATATTAATTAAAATTAGAAAGGGGGAGGGGGATCAAATCTGAACATTTGGGCCCTAAAGACCTTACTTTGAGATCTTTTTCATGACTTGAGATAATTTAAAGCTCTAGGACGTGTTGCGCTTAAGCTCAAGGGATTGGTCAATAGACACGCCGAATGGGCAATTCTTCATAATCGATTGTTTATCTAAAACAGCATACTTTTTCCTTTAACTCATAGTTCATTTATTTACAATTTTAATTGAGAGAACAGTCAAAGCTATTTAGTCTTGATTTTGGTGAGAGGGTAGGGGACATCCATTCTACGTGGATCCCGAGTATTCAGCAAATTAATCCGTCTACAAATATATTACCTCAAAAGATCCCAAGATTACATCAGTATTGTACTTAATGCCAGGTCTGTGGATAACACTAATGAACCACCGTTGGACCACTCCTGTACCTCACAAGGTATAAATTAGTCAAAAAGTAGGCACTTGGAGCATTTGCTGGTTGCTTCTTGCGAGATAGTTGCGAATTATGGAGAAAAAAACTCCTCAAAGGGACTATTATTACTTATAAAGAACTTTTTAACATGCAAATCAAAACTAGTCTTCCTATTGTAGGGAAAAAATTAGGAGGCTGTTTATGCGACTCATGTTATTTAGTTGGACTGTGTGAAGGCGTGGTGTGAATTAGCTTAATTAGACCGCCTTTACTCTCCCACCAACTGGGAAGGAGGTATGTATGCGGGCGTTCTAAAAATAGCAACATCACACCACACCACACCAATGCAGCAAAACGTGATGAGTGTATGGCTATCAAGTGCCATTATGCGTCATGAATGGCTGACTGGCCGATATACGTTAAGAGAGGAGTAGACACTAACCAGGAGAGTGTGTGTGTGTGTGTGTGTATGCGTCACTATGAGTATGCTAATTAACCTCTTCCCGTAGATTTCCAGTAGGAGGAATGAAACACCAATTGCAAATATTTATGCTTAAGAACTTTCACATTTTTCCCGAAAAATATCATGTCTATCCTTCAAAATAAGCCCCATTGGTACTAGACTCGTAACTGAAGACGATATTGACGTTTGCAACATGCTCAATACTTCTAGAACCTTCTCCTGCTACTACCAAAACTCAACACGTCGGCGACATCAGCTTGCTGGGATTGGGTGCATTTTAAAAAAATAATTCGGGCGTTTAAGGGTTAAGGTAGAGTTATAAGATGTACAAATGAAGGTAATAAATAAATTATAATTAATGATTCTAGAATTTTATCAAGAGAGGAGATCTATATATGTTTCAATTTGATCGCTTACTGGACTATTCCATGCAATTATACCCTATTCCTGGGGTGTGCGATAGACTTACCTCCACGTGGTGCTCTCTGGGCAACGTATATTCATACGGTAAAAAGTCTATAAACCGGCAGTCGACTTCTAACTTCAAACCACCATCACCCCACTCCATGTCATATTCGACTACTTCTACAGTACTCACCTCACCTTTTCTCTGCCTTTGTGTCTATCTGCCTGTCCCCTACATCTTTGAAACACTCTTCTCCTCCCCCTCTTAACTCTTTTTCACTTTACTACTCCTCTCCCTCTGTGAAGCCCAAATTCAGCTAAAGGCCTAATGATGACTATCAAAATGTCTGTCATGTGAAATAAATAATCACCCTCTTCAATGATCAGAAATTGCAAAGCTTTTTTACTTTTTTTAATAATATTAATGTACTTAAAGCTTTAGAATCTCTAGAGTTCTGTTCTCCTTTATACAGAAAAGCGTCCTGTGCTTCAGCTGGAACCTCAATGAAATAGCACTTAATAAAAAGATCTCAAATAGTAGATTCCAACTTCAAACAACTCAGCTAATTGTATAGTTGAAAGAGTATCCGTTTTTCATCCAACCCATCGTTTATTTATTTATTCTTTTAATTGAGATAACCATCAAAACTTTTTGGTCTTGATTTTGATGAGAGGGTAGGGGAAAGCTGTATTTTAAACGATTTTGAAAAGTTGCCTCTAATTAAATCATGTTTCTAAGTGAAAATAAGGGTTTAGCTTATTCCTGTTACGTTTTGCAATACTTTATCATACGATCATCTCCTTTCCTTTATCCCCAATGATTAGCACAACAATGTGAAGTGGAAACGAGGCTAATTATGTCTCCTTTCCAATGACCTTTCCTATGTGTGTTTAATACCAGTGGTATTTTGCGATCGAGATATTAAAAAGAGATCCATTCAGCACATATCTTGGGAACAAATTGAGATTCTGATGTATTTCTGAAACCAAAAAATCTCTTTCGACCAACTTGTGGACTCTTTTGAACTATTGTTTTTGTAACTCATGTTTTCGAAAACAGCAAATATATGCATGTGAGACATTTCCTAAAAAAATTTAGATGTTTTCCCGATACTGTTTGCAAGTTTACTGAGGGACGTTATTCCAACACTCCCTAAACCATGACTGAACTCGAATAATTGGCATGTAATATCTCCATGTTGACTAATAATATTCGATAATTCCTTAACCTGAAAACTTTCGCTTCATAGCTAATCGATTTTGCTGGTGAATTGCTTGAGTTCTACCTTCCTTGGGAAAGCATCTTATAGACCAACTTTAATTTAATTATTATATTATCTGGAGGACTCTATTTTTTTTACTTTTCACATTGGAAGACAAAAAAGCAACAACTTAGTGCTTTAAATAGCCTGGAAGAAAAAATAAAGTGCTGAGGAATTTGTTCACTTGAGAGCCACAGAAATAGTAGATTTTCTGTAACAGATCAACTGCCTAAAATTCTCGTAAATAATCTCATATATGTCCACTTGAAATGACGTATATTTTGTATATTCATAATGAAATCTAGTAATCAGATTTGACGAGCACAAGCACATGCTATTCCCCCTAAGTCTAAAAATTATTTTCCCACCTTAGAAAACGCTAACTTTGCCTTGAGAGTTACTCGTCAAGTGATTTTAAACAATGGGCTGGGATAGAGAGAAGTAGTTTTTTGAGGCCCCTATGTGGGGGAGGGGGTAACGAATTCTCCCTTTACAAAGTAGACATATATATATTTCAAATGGCAGGCGTTATGATAGGTATCATTAGCCCTTTAGTTGACTTTGGGCTTCACAGAAAGGAAGAGGAACATCAAAGTGGCAAAAAGTCGGAGGGAGGGGGAACAGAATAATGATTCACAGACGTAAAAGATACAGACAGACACAAAGGTAGAAAAAGGTGAGGTGAGTACTGTGGAAGTAGTCGAATATGAAATGCAGTGGGGTCATAGTAGTTTGAAGTGAGAAGTCAACTGCCAATAAATAGACTTTTTTGCCGTATGAGTATACGTTGCCCAGGGTGCTCCACGTGGAGGTAAGTCTATCTCACACCCCACTATGTAGACATTATTTGTACAACTTTCCATTGAGCCCATTGGTAGTGGACTGAAGGGAATCGAACCCGTGACTACTGGCTTCGTTTAAAATCATCTCCTCTGGCTATATTATCTATCTCAACCCCTCAAATGGTTGTGACCGTTGACTGAGGAGATACCTGAAAAGTAAGCAACAACGTAGACTAATAATTACTAGAGTTCTCTTATGACTACTGATTATACCAAAGACCTTAGTCAATTGCATTACGCGTAATACAACCAACCATGGACTCAGATCTACCTGATCACCGAGCTTTAGATGAGCGGGGGAGGGGTGTGTGTGATTGTAATCTTACCCAAGGATTTGTAAATCAAATCACAAAATTCGAACTTCCAGATAATATGTAGTAATTGCGCTTTTGATGCCAATGCGAACAATTCATTACTTCGCAAATAGTGGTAAAGCAAGATTCTTGGTACTCCAATTTCAGTACATTCATCATCACCATCATCTTCTTCTTGACTCTCTCCCTCTCCT